GATCACAGCCTTGAAAACGCTATGGAGCAGTTCTACTCGCACACATGGAGTTTCCGTGAGCTGGAATCAACTAGAGGGCAACTCCAACAGGAGGAGTGCTTACCCCTGCACACACATTGTTATAACTGACACCCCCACCCCTAAATCTATGTTGGAATCCTCAGCCCGGTACCTGTAGATGTGATCCCATTTGGAAGGGAAATTTTTCTGTGTTAAGTGAATCGGACATTGCATATCAGTGTAAGGTATATCCTAAACTTCTGAGCTATTAGAAGTGTAGTTGGAGCCAAAAGGAAGCGCAAATGAGAAGACAGATGCCATGTGAAAGCCACCAAAGAACTAAGGATACCACTAGAAACCAACAAGGAGGGTACCCACTTGGTGGAAACCCTAATTTGGAATTGTAGCCTTCAGAACTGGGAGGAGATGAATTTCTGTTCTTTAAAGCCAGCCATTTGTGGCATTTCTGTACAGCAACACCATGAAACTAAGACACAAGCTTAGATAGCTTTTAAATCGACCTCTAATCTCTCTAGACAGACCACCTCTGAGTTTAAATGTACTTGTTGCAATCAAAAGTGCTTTGTGATACTCCTCGGTAATATGGACAATCTCACTATATAATACCTCAGTAGATAACCGAACGAGTCTCTGCCTTAATGAGCCCCACACACAGGCGTCCTAATCCCACTGTACATTCCAATCAATTTTCAGGGACAGCTTCTAAAATAAAATAAACCACCTTTGCTATTCTTTAACATATAGCATTTATAAGCAACTCTATTAGCCCCTTCCAAATCTTCTCCCACATGCCATCTAGGTCATTCTGCATTAAAAAAAAAAAAAAAGATTGCAGCTCCTTATGTGAAAGGTACAGGAGTCAATCTTCGCTATTATATTGTTAACTACTCTTTCATCTCAGACCTTCAGTGAGAGGTCTAGAAGGAAAACTCCAGGGAGAAGGAATGTAAATCCAGGGGAAGGAATGTTTTAATCCTAAACAGCAATGTCATGTCCCTTTCATTGGAGTTTTTCTGTGGCCAGGCTTTTCCTTAAAGAGTCCTGCTGCCGGGTTCCAATGTGTGCCAAGCTGAAAGCCAGCCCAGCTCCCCTGGGCAAGGTGGAGGACAGCAGGGCGGAGAATGGCCGTGCTCTAGTGATCCTATACGGATCTGGCCGGGGCATTTCAAGCTCTGGGCGTCGGGGACCCATGTGGCACTAGGAAGAGGGGCGGTCATTCTGGAGGGCGCTGGCACACACTAGTGTCACCCTGGCTAGTGTCCCTGTCTTCGGTGGCAGCCTGCTACGCCACGCAAGGGGGCGGGGAATCAAAGATTACACACTTATTTTCTGGGCCCACAACGAGAGCCAAAAACCCGGGCCGTGTCCGCAGGGACAAGCGCCCAGGCGGCGTGGGCACTTGTCGCCTGACACTGACAGGTGTCACGGCGGACACCCCGGGTCCCCTCGGCCCGGGCACGGCATGGCGGCGCACAGACGCTGCACCTGGCAGGCACCACGTACCTATCATGGTCACTGGGAGGGAGGCGGCCGCTTGACAACCGGGCCAAGAATCTGGCGCCCGCCGCCTCCCACCGCCGCTCTTCCCGGCTGTCGTTCAGGGCTCCCTGTACCCGCCCCGCGCCTAGTCGAATGCGCATGCGCAGAGGACAAAGACTCGTCGCCTGCCGGGAATCGTAGTTCTGAGGACCAGTTGCCCTTTCGCCCCGCCCACTCGCCGCTGCCCACGGCGACAATGGCCAGCCTCTGCTACAAAGGCGCACGCGTAGTGGGCGCGCGGCCCGAGGCCTGCCGGGAGTCGTAGTTCTGACACGCAGCTGCGCCTTCGCCCCGCCCGCCTCCCTGCCGCGGCCTTTTCCGGCTTTTAAGGCCTAGGAAGCTCACGTCACGACAGGGCGAGGCCGTTCCGCCGAAATGTTGATGCGTCGCGTAGCAACCGCGGGCTCACCTTTGGAAGCTTGTTGTAGCTCTAGCCACGGTCCTGCCTTCCTCCCGCCCGTCCCCTCCCCCAAACTCCCTTCACCTAGGAGCTGCCAAACATCTGGATCGACCTGGGCACTGGGAGGGGTTGAATTTCTATCAGTATTGCGCTTTTGAACATTTTTTTCCCCGACCTTCTTCTCACATTCGTAAGCCCCGTGATTCTTAGTCCACTTTTTTTTTTTTTTTTAATGAGAACAAGACATCTCCTAGGAAGATGGTGGCAGAAAAAGAGACCCTAAGCTTAAACAAATGCCCAGACAAGATGCCGAAGAGGACCAAGCTTCTGGCCCAACAGCCGCTCCCGGTGCACCAGCCGCACTCCCTGGTTTCCGAGGGCTTCACAGTCAAAGCCATGATGAAAAACTCCGTCGTAAGTGATCTCCCGATTGAATGCACTTCTGCCGAGCAGGGAACACGAGGTTGTGTAGGTTGGCCCTGTGAGGGACACTGAGCCGTGTGCTGGGTGGTCTTCGCCAAACTGGCACTTGTCTGCCGGTGGGAGACCTTGCCCAAGAGCGTACGGAGGACAGGCTCGGTTGGTGAGAAACGATTCCGGGCAAGTGATGTACTGTCCCATTTCTAAGCACCTTCCTATGCACGCGTAGTTTCTTTCTAAACCACTCGAACTACACTTAGGCTAGTTCCTAGTTACTTATGGCTACCAAAGTCGCTCTCCTCCGCAAAGGACCTAGAGCTGAGTTCTTAGAAATCCCAGTCTTTTGCAAAATTTAACATGACCTCGTTTACAACTGGGAGCATAAGCTCATGAAATCATTTATAGTGAAAACTTTCATCTATTTAGGTAATTTTAGAATATCGTGGCTTTTACTCCCACAACACTCTTCTTACAAAATGCTATCAGCATGTTAGAATATTGAAAAGCCACTTAATGTGCAGTCTGTTTCTTCATAATATCCTTAAGTGATGCTTTTCAAATAATCCCATCTTCAGTGCAAAAATCCTTGCCTGTTAGTACAATTCATATTTTGTTTCTGTTTGTGGTAGTAAAGATAAAATATTTTTAATCCTATCAGAAAAAAAGATAAAAAGATTTAAAATGCACAAACATGGTCAGGCTACATGCATAATAGTTTAGTTAAAAAACAAACACACTTCCTATTTGTTAAATAGCTTTAAATTTGGTATTCTAAACCAGATTTTACTCCTGAGTAAGCACCTGTCTGGGAATGAGGCAGTAAATAATAAATGCAGCTTTCAAATTTGTATAATTTACACCCTGGGAGGATCTGACTTATTGCATTGTAACTCATTATGTTAAATGAGTAATGCTGCTTTCCAATGTCACGTTATTTGTTTTACTTAAATGTTGCAAACATAATACCTTATTCCTACACCACATCCTTCAAATATGTGAATGGAACAGATTACCTGCAGTCCTGTAAGTCTGATACCCATGTTGCTCCACAAAATGGTACTCTAGTTATTGGTATGTGTGTCAGTTGGTTTACAATAGTTGAAATTCTGGGAAATAGACTAATAACCCTGCCTGTTGTTACTGCAGTCTGCTCATTGTGTTTCATGGGAACAGGTTCTCAGGGGAGTTGATGCCTCATTTATCAGCCATACAGAATACCATAACCCTTCAAGTGAAACATTTATCTTTTCTTCTGTACAATATTTATGATGATCATTCCGATGATTTGTTTCCAGTGCTACATTTTAACATCACAAGTGTGTAGGAAAAAAAAAAAAGTCAAATTCTTTCTTTTGTTTTCTAAACCCATGTTCATAAATTCTTTTATTGTGTGTATTCTTAAACATGCAAACAGAAATCTCACCATGGAAAATCGAATGTTTCTGTATTGGGGGAAAATCCATGGCTGTGGAGTTGATTCCAAGTCATGGTGACCCCATGGTTTATAGAGCAGGACAGCTCCACAGGCTTTTGTTGGCTGTAATCTTGATGGAAGGAGACTGCTAGGCCTTTCTTCTGCGATCCCACTGCGTGGGTCCAAACTGCCATCCTTTAGGTTAGCATACAATCATAAACCGCTGCACCACCCAGCAAATATGCTGAGAACACGTAAAACATTATGTCATGAACTGGCTTTATTTATAAGCAACTTATTGGAGATGAAGTATCTTCTCATAGTTTTAAGGAAAACCTTGCAGTGCAATGTCTTTGTCTCTCCTGGGATCCCAAGGTGGGATTGTTCATTTGCTCATTCCATTTAGCAGAAATCTTAATTCTCAGATGCAAACATTATTCGTTCAGTCAATCAAGAATTAATGACAAAGCCAACTCTTTTTTTTTCTTTTTTTGAGCATCTACTACACGATAAGCAGTGTTGGGGATTTGGGATCAACGTTGCACGAAACATGTCCCTAGGAAAACGGCCATCACCACCCATAAAGTCTTGATAAAACAAAAATACACAATACTGTTTATACAGCCTAACTTCAATGCTTTGAGAGGTATAACATTTCAGTGTTTCTGTCTTTAGCAGTGTAGATCTTTGGGCATTTATACAGTTAAAAGATACTTAGCTCTTTCTTAAGATATATTTGTATTTAAAGGACATTGTATGCCAATCTCCAGTTTTCCTTAACCAAAACCCCATATTCCAAAAGCCATATTTTCTAACCATTTTCTGATGTTAGGGCTCACAGTCACTTCTCTCTTTCAAACCCTTGCTGCTTAGGTAAGTTGCCACTCCAGTGCTCTTCCACAAAAGATCTACTGACTTGTACCCTCGGAGGTTATATGGAGGCCCTTGATACTCTTTGGAGAGTGCTGTAGTGATAAGTAGTCAACCTTTAACTTAAACAGAGTTCGTCAGATGGGCTGTGCAAGCAGAGAGCCCGATCTAAACAGTAGGATTGTGCATGTGAGCATGCAAAATCAGGTACAAAATGATCAATGCCACCAGCAAGTAGTGTTTTTAGTCCAAGGTCAAATGTTCTTCAACAGTCAGCAGTGTCTTTATTTCCATGAAACTTTTGTTGCATTCTGTGTAACAGTGAGCAATGATAAAAGGCCTTTAATCAGGAAAAATCCTCTACATCATGTTATAATGTTTGCCTAAAAAGAATGATGTTGTTGTCGTTAGGTGCTGTCCAGTTGTCTCTGACTCTTAGCAGCCCCGCGTACAACAGAACGAAACAATGTCCCGTCCTGTGCCAGCCTAACAGTCCCTGCAAGAAAAAAAGGATGAGAGAGACGAACTTTGAAGATTTTGTAGTTCATTTTCCCTTTAAAGGTCTTAGGTACGAATGATAGAATCCCTGCCCAGAAACCACGACCCCAGGGTTGTTTTCACTTTTTCCGGACAGATGCTTTTTGTGCCAACTTCCCTTACCATTAGCATGTGGACCCGAGGCTATGCTGATGGAGAAGTTGTCTTCAACTGAAGCTTCATACAACAGCTTGACTTCTCCCTAATCTATAAATGTCTTATTCTCAAAGCTTAAGGGAATGGCACAAATACTAAAATTTACTTTATATCTGGAGAGAGTCTTATGCTTGCCAATCATATAGTCATCCAACACATAGCAGTAACAATCAACAATTATAAATTATTAATTAGACTACTTTTGTTGTTGTTGTTGTGTGCCATCAAGTCGGCCCCAACTCATAGCGACCCCTCCTTGGGTTTCTGAGGCAGTATCACTACGGAAGTAGGATTGCCCAACCTTCCTTCCAAGGAGTGGCTGGTGGGTTTGAACCACCAGCCTTCTGGTTAGCAGTCAAGTGCTTTAGCCACTATGCTACCAGAGCTCCTAGACTACTTTTAGAGAAACCAAATAACAATAGCTTAAATAAGATAGAAGTTGTTTCTGGTGGATTTACAAGTGCAGTCCCAAAGGGTGGGCAGTGTGTTATTATCTACAGCTGCTGTAGCAGTAATAACACAGGTAGAGGGCTTTCACAACCAGAAATTTCTCTCTCACCCTTCAGGAGGCTAGAGGTGCAGGACATTGCTCCGGGAGAGCTTTCTGTCTCCTTGTGTCCTGGTGCTAGGAGGTTCCCAGCTCAGTGACTCTGGATCCAAAGGATGCACTCTGCCTCCTGTTCTCTCTGGTGGTAATGCTTTCCTCTCTCTGTGTGTGCTTCCTCCTCCTTTCATCTCTTACAAGATAAAAGGTGTTGCTGACACACTCCAGGGAAACTCCCCTTAAATCAGATCAGGACTGTGATGAGATTAAAGGTGTTGCATCCACTGGAATCTTCTTTCAGCTGATTGACTTATCACCTAAATCACATCATGGGGCATCATGACATAACTGCCAAACTACAACATGGCATAACTGCCAAACCACTGAGAATCATGGCCAGCCAGGTTGACACATACTCTGGGGGTGTGCAGTGTAACCCATGGCAGGTAGTCTTCCACAGGAAGTAGGGGCAGGGGCATTTGAGCCTTCTTTATTCTTGTTCTGCATCCTCTAGGGGATGCCCTGGGGGTCAAAGTGGTCTCACCAGCACCAGGCTCAAATCTTAGCTTTCAAGGAGGAAAAAAGCGCAACAAGAGAGCTTCCTTTTAATGGTATGACCAAGATGCTGCACCCCATTTTCACTAGCATTCCAATGCCTAAAATTGAGTCATACGTCCACATTTTCCCATTTTACAAAATCATGTGAAAGACTGATCCCAAAGCAATTCTCAAGCCTCCATACTTGTTCCATTAGGAAAAAGGCTCCCATTCACCCAGGATGGACATAGCCACCTTTGCTCATCATTTTCTACTTTGTTTATAGTTCTTCGTGCTTGTGTTTTCTCTCTATGAGAGCAGAATCCAGCTTGGACTTACCTTTCCATCCTCATCCGCTCTTAACAGAGTACGCAATAAAGACTTAGGAAGTGAAAACAATCTGCCCTTTCACTTATCTTCTCCTTCTCTCTTGTTGCTATAATTTTCTTTTTTGGCACTAGTTTGAATTTTTTCAACCACCTTTCTCCCAGATTAAGAGCGTAGGAGATTCCTTCAAAATTAAGTCAGACCATGGCATTTCTCAGGAGGAGCTCTGGTGGTGTAGTACCTAAAGCATTTGACTGCTAACCAGAAGGCTGGCAGTTCAAACCCACCAGCCACTCCTCAGAAGGAAGATTGGGCAATCCACTTCTGTAGAGATACTGCCTCGGAAACCCAAGGGGGGTCCTCTATGAGTCAGAATCGACTCAAAGGCAGTGAGTGTGGTTCTGTTTTGATTATGGCATTTCTCACCTCAAACGCTTGGGGGCGTGGGCCGTCTCCCTCACAGTCCTGACACTCCTGTCAGGCCCTGCCTGCTCTGGCCACCTTTGCTTCTTTATGTTGTTACTTCTTTCTTGAGGGCTTGTTGTTGTTGTTATGTGCCGTCGAGTCGGCCCCGACTCATAGCGACCCCTCCTTGGGTTTCCGAGGCAG